ACCTTGAGGACCAGTTAAAATCTCTGTTTTCTTTTTAACAGGTTGAGTGATTTTTCACTCACTTCGTTCTTTGTACCAGTGTTACTAGGGACAGGAAGGCAAAAATGACTATCAATGCATTTAACACAACCTCACTTTACCAAAAAAACTGTTTTTGACTATTTCCCCTAACAAACGATTTCCAATCAATTCTTAAAATGGCAAGTGATGCTGAGATCATGCTAATAACACAGATGGTAAAAAAATATCTTGACAGACAAAACAAATGAAATGATTTGGCTGGAGTTGGTATTGAAGCAGATATTTTATTGTATTGTAGTTTAGTAGTGTAGTGTGCATATTGTAGTGTTACGACTTAAGCTAGCCATACATGGATTGAAATTCTGCCACTTCAGCAGGAACCAGATGAACTTCAATCCATGTATCCATGTTCTTGTTCATGAGAAGTTGATCTATCGATTGATGTCTCATGAACAGTCCTGCTAGAATATTCCCATTCGAGGAGCCCCCCTGTCAGAATACAATGCAGCGGGGAGGATTTCCACATCAAAAGTGTAGATGGGGAATCAGGTTAATTTTTTTTGGTTCATCCCACTGGTGGAATGAAAAAACCTGACCTGTGCATGGTCATCTAAAGAATCACTGTCAAATTTGAATTGTTGTCTTTATCTCCATGTGAGAGATTTTCCCTTACTTCCACCCATTAGCAATGCAAGTCTTGGGGCCCTGGAAATGCATTATCTACATCTTTGATTATGTCTATATTATCCAAAAACAAAAATAACCAGCACATACCAATTTCATAAAAGGTGATTTTATCAGAACAGATATGGCAAGTAGTGGTATATATTTTGGACAAACATGCCCTCAACCTTAACATATAATAAAAATCATAAGCAGATAAAAAATAATCATTAGGTGATACACTAATTTCCAGGTACAAAAAAAATTATGAAGTGGGTCAACATTAGGGCATAAGACAAGCAAAAGTACAAGAAGAAACAAAGATTAATAACTGATCTTAGTTAAACAATGATATTGATGATATTTCATTGAACTCAAAGAAATTATGATTATTCACATACACTCATGCACGGAGAAAGAGATTGAGAGCAGAAGAAAAATAAGAGAGAGAATGACAGAGAAAGAAAGAGGAGAGAAAGAAAGGGAGGGAACTAATAATAAGCAAATAGATTTTCAAATCTATTGAATTGGCAAAATGTTAATGTTTAAACTGTCTATACATTTTTTTCTAAAGAAAATTATTAAGTTCCCAAGTTACGTGGGTTGCTGATGCCAATTCTCTGCATATCAGACAGATTTATAAGCAAATATTCTGATTGGAGATTTACTACACTGCTCAAAAAAATTAAAGGAATACTTTTTAATCAGAATATAGCATCAAGTCTGGGGCAGCACAGTGGCTAAATTGTTAGCATTTCCGCCTGGCAGTACTAGGGTCGTTGGTTCGAATCCCAGCCATGGCACCACCTGCCTGGAGGTTGCATGTTCTCCCTGTGCCTGCGTGGGTTTCCTCTGGGTACTCCGGTTTTCCTCCCACACTCCAAAGACATGCTGGTAGGTTAATTGGATCCTGTCTAAATTGCCCTAATATGTGTATGTATGAATGTAAGTTAGGGACCTTAGATTGTACACCCCTTGAGGGTTAGGGACTGATGTGAATGTACAATATGTATGTGTAAAGCGCTGCATAAATTGACAGCACTATATAAGTATCTGAAATAAATAAATAAGTCAATTAAACTCCTGAGATATTGATCCGGTCAGTTAATTAGGGGGTGTTGATCAGTTTCAGCTGCTTTGGTGTTAATGAAATTAACAATGTGGGCACTAGATGGGCAACAATGAGATGATCCTCAAAACAGGAATGGTTTACAGGTGGAGGTCACTGACATTTTTTCCCCTACTCATCTTTTATGACTGTTTTTCACTAGTTTTGCATTTGTCTAGGGTCAGCATCACTACTGGTAGCATGAGGCTACCCTTGGACCCTACAGAGGTTTTACAAGCAGTCTAACTCCTCCAGGATGGCACATCAATATGTGCCATTGCAAAAATGTTTACTGTGTCTCCCAGCACAGTCTCAAGAGCATAGAGGAGATTCCAGGAGACAGGCAGTTACTGTATGATAGCTGGATAGGGCTTTAGAAGGTCCCTAACCCATCAGCTGGACCAGTATCTGCTCCTTTGTGCAAGGAAGAACAGGATGAGCACTGCCAGAGCCCTACAAAATGACCTCCAGCAAGCCACAGGTGTGAATGTCTCTGACTAAACAACCAGGAACAGACTTCATGAGGGTATCCTGAGGGCTCAAGGTCCTCTAGTGGGCCCTGTGCTCACTACCTGGCACCATAGAGCTCAATTGCCATTTGACATTGAAAACCAGAATTGGCAGGTCCTTCACAGGTGCCATGTGCTTTTCACAGATGAGAGCAGGTTCATGCTGAGCACATGTGACAAACGTGAACGGGTCTGGAGAAGCTGTGGAGAACATTATGCTGCCTGTAACATCGTTCAGCATGACCGTTTTGATGGTTGGTCAGTGATGGTCTGGGGAGGCATATCTATGGAGGGATGCACAGACCTCTACAGGTTGGACAATGGCACCCTGAATGCCATTAGGTATCAGGATGAAATCCTTGCACCCATTGTCAGACACTACACTGGTGCAGTGGGCCCTGGGTTCCTCCTGATGCACAACAATGCCCAGCCTCATGTAGTGAGAGTATGCAGGCAGTTCCTGGAGGATGAAGGAATTGATACCATTGAATAGCCCCCACGCTCGCCTGACCTAAATCCAAAAGAACACCTCTGGGATATTATGTTTCAGTGCATCCAACGCCGCCAGGTTGCACCTCAGACTGTCTAAGAGCTCAGTGATGCCCTGGTACAGATCTGGGAGGAAATACCCCAGGACACCTTCCATCATCTCATTAGGAGCATGCCCCAATGTTTTCAGGTATGCATACAAGCACGTGAGGGCCATACAAACTACTAGAGTACCATTTTGAGCTGCTACAATGAAATTTCAGCAAAATGGACTAGCCTACTGCATCATTTTTTTGCTTTGATTTTCGGGGTGTCTTTGAATTCAGTCCTCTGTAGGCTGATAATTTTCATTTTCATCAAACCATGGGGCATTCTTACTTTTCGAACACATTACCCAGTCCATATCAGTATAGATATCAAGCATGATATTTTTGCCCATTGATATCTGATGTGTTTTTAAAGTGTTCCTTTAATGTTTTTGAACAGTGTAGTTGTACATAGGATGTGTTTGGTTCTCAAAAGGAACAACAGGCTACTTAATGAACTGTCCTACTTGGTTTTATCAGTCTGTTTCACTAGAGCAGGACATTCTTGGTGTAGGATGTTGTGACTTTTCTTTACTTGCCTCTAATTATAGATCCACATAACGAAATAGAGAAATGAATAATGCTACTACCCATTCAATCCAGCATTATTAGAGCTCACGGGTGCCCAATCTACAGTCGCACAGCTGTAATATGAATCCATAGAAGTGATTCACACCATTTTTACTGCTCTTAAAATCTGGTTTTACTGTGCAGTGTAACTGTGTACAGTTCAAAGATGTATATTTGACTTGTACACTGTGGTTCTTACAATATAACAAGATTTTAATAGCGGCAATGGTGGTGCAGATCACTTCTATGAACAGAGTCACATAACCATTCATATGGAAACCTTGCCTCTTATTCTCACTTAAATTCTACAGTAGCCAACTCCACACCTGTAATGAGGAAAATACCGGAGCTGCCATTTTTTGTATTTCCTTCTCTGATCTTCTCCTGAAAATGCTTGTTGCCCAACTGTCTCTGGTTCCTATTAGTCACAAAACAAGCATGCATATGAAAATGACAGAGTGATGCAAGAACACCTGCCCCGTACACTTCAAAATTAGATGCTTACTAATTATTGATGTCAATAAATCAGCATGACAGCAAGGTAATTAATATGTTTAGAAGGTCATATTAACACTGGAAGCCTTCACACATTTCAGTATAGGTTCCTGTTAACATGACAACCAGCTAGAATGAACATATTAGAAGTATCTATTGAAATCTGGACTCCAGGCAAACAGCTACATAAAAAAGATGAAATAAATATAAAATGATTTGTATTTATGGTCTTTCTGTCTTTTCATTCTTTACACAGCTTTGTCACAAAACACAGCCCTGTCTGACAGGGCAGGAGACTTGATTTTCTTCTCTGTTGCAGTAAAGAAAGACATACAGGTTTTGTCCCTCTGCTAGCATGTGAATGGACAGTAAAGGAATAGCAGCAGACAGATGAGCTAATTTCTCTGTCATTCTGCTCTCTTCAGCACATTGTGTATTCCTTGTTAGCACATATGCACTCCACCACTGGTCCTTGTGCTGCTTTTTCTTCTCATCTCAGCTCTTCTTTACAGGAAATTTAAAGAGACTGGTGTCAGGTTACATTCAGATATTTACACTGCTTGTGATAGAAAATACATAATTATGGATGTATTAAATAATATGTATACCCCAACATTTCATGTCCCTGATGTACCATGTACTTGTATGAAAATGTATCCTGTTCCCTTTGTGTTGCTCCCTTTGTGTGAAATACATTGTGTTCCTGCTAGTCCCTTTACTTCCTTATTAAAAACTGACTACACTAAGCATGAGAGGCCAGCGTGGTCAGTTTTCTAGCTGTGCTGAGAACTCCTGCTAGTTCATCCTCCCACAGCTCACTGAGCTTCTTATGCAACTAAGAGAAGAGGGTATGTGATCACTTATAAGAAAGGGAAAAAAGGGTTTTTAGAATTTTTTTTATATGTATACACAAATGTTTTCACTTTAATTCCTATTTTAAATTGAAAGGGTTCAGGGTTTACATATATTTCAGTGAATACAGATCTGCATTAACCACCTCCCGCCCGCCATATAGTAATATGACTGGCGCAAGGCGGTTCTCTCGTTCTGGGAGGACGTCTTATGATGTCCTCCCATTCTCACTGTGCATGTGTGGCTCAGGGAGCACGCAGCGTGGTGATCGGTGGTGCGCTGTGTCCCTCGGACACAGCGGATCACCGATCACAGAAAGAGCCGAAGATGTTGGCTCGGTCCAATCACAGCTGATCACATGTAAACAGGGAAATGCCGGTTATCGGCATTTCTCTCCTCTCGAGCTGTCACACTGACAGCTCGAGAGGAGATCCGGTAATCGGCTTTCCGCGGAGGGGACATGTACACTGATCATCAGGGCACTGATGTGTAGCCCCAGCAGTGCCACCTGTTAGTGTCCATCAGTGCCTTATGTCAGTGCTCATCAGTGCCTCGTGCCAGTGCCCATCAGTGCCACATATCAGTGCCTACCAGTGCACATCAATGCCACATATCAGTGCCCATCTGAGCTGCCTTTCAGTGTCACCCATCAGTGCCAGTCAGTGTCACCTATCAATGCCAATCAGTGTCACCTATCAGTGCTGCCAATCAGTGCCACCTATCAGTGCCAGGCAGTGCTGCCTATCAGTGCCAGTCAGTGCTGCCTATCAGTGTGCATCAGTGCCGCCTATCAGTGCCTGTCAGTGCCACATAACAGTACCAGTCAGTGCCGCCTAACAGTGCCAGTCAGTGCCGCCCATCAGTGCCAGTCAGTGCCACCAATTAGTGCCAGTCAGTGCCACCTATCAGTGCCGTATATCAGTGCCATGTATCAGTGCTGCCTTTCAGTGCCCATCAGTGATGCATGTCAATGCCCATCAGTGCCACCTACCAGTGCCTCCTCATCAGTGCCCATCAGTGCCACCTATCAGTGTCCATCAGTGCAGCCTATCAGTGCCCATCAGTGCAGCCTCATTAGCGCATATCAGTGAAGGAGAAAAATCACTTATTTACAAAATTTTATAACAAAAACTAAGAAAAAACATTTTTTTTTAAATTTTCAGTGGTTTTTGGTTTGTTTAAGAAAAAATAAAAATCCCAGAGGTGATTAAATACCACCAAAAGAAAGCTCTATCTGTCACTAAAAAAAATGATAAAAATTTCATATGGGTACAGTGTTGTTTGACCGCGTAATTGTCATTCAAAGTGTGACAGCGCTGAAAGCCGGAAATTGGCCTGGACAGGAAGGGGGTATAAGTGCCCTGTAGGCTAGTGGTTAATGTTTGTATTTTATATTTGAGTCTGGCTTCCATGCCAATGTCAACTTTATTTTCTGTCTACTTTACCAGCTGAGTAAAATGTGTATATAAATGCCAACTTTGCAAAGTAAATATTATTCTTAATTTGCTCTTTGTGTATTTCAGCAATAACCAGGTTGGTATTGTTTGATAATATCTAGTTAATATATAGTTATCAAGCATCTGGCACTTACATTACAGCGTGTGAGACGTAATCCCCAATAATCTACCAAAATCCATCTACACCTGTTTACCAATCTAAATTATTCACAGTGATCACAAATGTGATATCTTAATTCAATAATGTGGTATATCACAGCCAATACAATTATCTACAATTAGAAAACAGTTTTCATTTATTTAGGTAAAACTGCTAGAGGGACTACAACATGTGCATCTGTTCTGTAAACCTTCCTTTTACATCTGTCTGTAAGTTATTTGAGGATGAATTCGGGTCTTCTCTTGTAGCACTAAAATATACTAATTTCTAAAAATATTTAATAATAAAACAAGACATTGCCGTGTTTAGAAGTACAGTGTTAGCTATTGGAATGGCATTCGACTACTTTTACGCTTTTGTTCTTCTTTTGTTCAACTGTTCATATTGTAAAATGTTGTTGCTACCTTATTTTTAAAATTGATAAAGCAAGATATTTTTACATTGATAGAATTATATGAGATAAAAGTGGAATAATATTTTTCAGATTTTCTTCCAAGGCTTAATTTACTCTATAGCATTATAAAAACACAGCATTGATTGAAGTGTGAACGTATAGCATGCATTTTACTTTAATTTTCTTTGCTGCTTTATAAGATATCTTGCTATGATTTTTAAAACACATTTTACTGCACTACAATGTGGTAAAATACAAATACATGCAGTATGCTACAACACAATAAAGTTCAAAAAATGTGATGCAAATGCTTGCTGATGCTGTACATTAAAGTGCCTGATTTTGATAATGTGATACTGTGAATCCAGCTTAATAAATAATAAATTGGTTCTCAGGGTGCACCCCTACACAGGGGGAACTTGGGGGGAGCAATTTAAATGCCCTGATTTTAGTCTTTAACATGTACAAGCACTCACGTTACTGTTCATTTTGATTCAACACAGCACCATGTTCAGCCAATGCCTCTCCAAGTGCTTGAGCTTTTAAGCCTATTAGGACAGTACATTTCTGCAAGTGAGCACATTTTCTGTACTTGTCATGAGTAGTTGTCAGATAGAAGCAATGACATAATCAGATCTTTGGGTAATGGAATATTTTTTTACTTTCAATCATTTTTATTGAAAAGAATTTAAAGGTACAGAGAGCCAAAGAATACAATAGCCAAAACCCTGACTAGGCATATCAAAAGAACATAACAAAAAAATCAGAATAATGGAATACAAGACAAAATCAAGATAGTACAATGGCCTAGGTCTACCCAGAGCAGGATTAAGAATGAGTCCTGCCATAAACGTGTTACTAATGGGTCATCATTTCATTCTAAATTATACAAAGCAGCATCCAGGGTTCACATATGGTATAAAATGTAGGGCGATGCCCAAATAGAGACAGATAACAAAGATAGAACTAGGCCAGTAGGAGGAAAGAAAAGAAGAGGAAGTCAGAAAGAGAACCTAAACATTGAAGGTGAAGGTTGAGGTTAGTAGATTGGGTGGGACCATAAGAAGGCAGCAAGTTCACCCATGGAACCCAACCTTCTCAAATTTTATGGTTGTATCTTTGACCATGATAGCAAGATATTCATTAGTATAATCCTGGAAGCTTTGTGTCGAAACATAGAAATATGTACTGAAGGTTTCCTCTGGAACTTTTTTTTACTTGATGGCATTTGTTTTTAATTTTGTTGACTTAAGCTGTACTTTAGAAATGTCTACCTCTATATGAGCTCATTTGCACATAGCATTTGCCAGTTTCACCTTACCTATCTTCCACTAAATGTAATTAACATTTTCAAGAAAAAGAAAACCACCCACTTAAGTACTTTACATCATAATTGATGTATTGATAAGAGAAATGTGATAGCAATGATGATGTATTTAAGGTTCACATTTACTATCCTAAAGGCATTCTTGACATATGACATCTGTGCAATCTACAGAATATACTTAATGCACTTAAACAGGTAAAATAAATCAAAAACTTAAACATGTCTTTACTAATTATCTTCTTCAAAACTATTAAATATTTGTATACATTTAGTTTATATTTTGTACTGCTGATCTTATTGGATGAGCTGGGGAGTATCACTTAAACACCCCCCCTTAGCTTATCATGGTCTACGTTTCTCCAGTCTCTTATCAAATTCTTCCACTGTTTCTGGCTAGCCTCAGCTCATCCAACTCTTCCAACCTGCACAGTCATTTCTCCAGTGGAATCTATCAAAAATGCCATATTAAATTGGAAAACCTGAACTCTGCAACTCGTACATGTATTCTCAGTGAGAATGGGCATCAAATCACAGCTATAATCATTTGGCCAAACATGCATAAATCTAGAAACCCAGTAAGGTGGCTACCTCCAGATTCATAGAGTGGGACTAAAGAAAGGAGGACCTGTTAGTAAATTTGAGAGCCAACCATTCTCTCAGAACTTATATATCTATGTAAAAAAAGATGCACATAAGAAAATAATATATATCTAGTAAATATTTTGAAATACTATATTTGATATATTAAGGTGCATCCTTAAGGTCCTATATGAGATTCATGGGCCAGTCTGGTTCTGAGCCAATTAAACTCTTTCAGCCAAGTAAAAACAAATGTGTATTAAGAGGAAAACTCTGTTCATTTGGAATTGTATTTTTTATACATTTCTTACAATAATTATTATGTAATAAAGCAAGATTTCAACTGATTCTTATAATAGATTCACTAAGATTTTCATTCCAAATTCGTTTACCTTTTTATATCTCTATGTGCATTATTTGTAAACACTACAGAATAGCATATCACAAAAATACTTGTAACAACAGTTTTCCTCTAACTGTTATCACTTTGAAACTTACAAGAATAGATTATCTAGCTGCATAAGCCATTTATAACAAATTCTTGAAGTAAAATCCATGAATTTGTGCAGCTAGTTTTGACAAATAGCACAAAGGCCAGCATCCATTAAAGTTTTATTTCTGTTTGCTGCACCAAGTTGTCATTTTTTTTTTCCAGTTTTATCATAGGTCAGAAGTCTTTCACAGAGTTTAAAAATGGAGTGTGCGGTATTGATATCATAAATAGTAACCCTATTGGAAGAACAGCACTATGGACATGGAGAAAGCCGCATTTATCAAAAAGCAAAATGACTTTCAATAGACAACAGCAAAGATCTATCATATATGTCCAATAGGTTTTAGTGTGAACTTCCATGACCTCCAAATCTTTTCTAGAGTGATAAAATATAAAAACAGCTCCATTATGGTGTGCAAATGAGCACATTTTATTAATCATTATTACTCATAATAATTTTAAATTAAATTGTACATATTTTCAAAAACAAGAACATTTAAGTAAACAATTCTGATGAAAAAAACCTGCAATAAAAGAGTATGTACACTCACCTGTCCTAATCTTTACAGGCTCTGCTAAGATCTGCCAGAATTTTCACATCACACACTTTCAGGTCTGTCAGATGCCTGCATCATCACTATGTGCTGTGTTCCACACTCCAGCTCCTACATCCTTTCTATGTCCTGTGTTGACCTAGGGTGAATGGGACCACAGCATGCAACTGGGGACCAGGCATCTAACACACCCAGAGGTGCTTGGGATGTAAAGATTCCACCAGAGGCTGCAGTTATGCACAAAAATAAAGATCTAAGGAAGGGGCCTAGAAACAGATGAATATAAGGACTCTTCAATGCAGGTTGTGTTGTTTCAATTTCTTAACAGCAACACAAATTTAATTATAATCAGCATCAATAATCTTAACAAATAACTTTATAGAGTAATATATTAGTGCATCATAATTCATTTATTGGAATAATTTGCACAGATTGTTAATTTAAAATTGACTAGATTAAATTTCAGTGCAATTTTTTTTCTTTATTTTGACAGAAATGCATCTGTAATAGAGATAGAATTGCATAAAAAATATTCAAATACATTTTTTAATTCAAAAGCATGAACCAGGTCCTACTGATTTAGCAAATAAATCAAATGACTCACAATAAAGTTATAATGCACTTTTTAGGAGCTGCCATAAGAAGAAAACATATTACTTCTTTAATAGAGAAGTGACATTAATGGGTGGAGGTAATGCTTTCAAGTAAAATCCTTTGTGCTCCCTGTCAATTAATAAAGGTGGGATCCCAAGTGGATCCCAGGAATGGAGAAAATAAGCAATCACCTCATCTTTC